ATGAATGAATAAATAAATAGAATCTTTAAAAAAAAATAAAGTGGATTTTTAAAACTTAAAAAATAAGGGAGCACCTGGGTGGCTCAGTTCATTCAGCATCTGCCCTGGGATTGAGATCCACATCTGGGTTCTTGCTCAATGGGGCATCTGCTTCTTCCTTTCCTTATGCCTCTGTCTCTGCTCAGACTCTCTCTCAAATAAATAAATGAATAAATAAAATCCTAAAAAAAAACTTACAAAAATAGACAAAAATAGTTCAATTGCTCAACAGAAGACACTGTTTGCAAAGTTAACAGATGGCTGATAAATCAGAAAGATATTTGCAATGTCTAAACCCAATAAGAAACTGCAATCAAAGGATGCCTGGGTGGTTCAGTGGTTAGCACCTGCCTTTGGCCCAGGGCATGATCCCAGAACCCCGGGATGGAGTCCCACATCCGGCTCCCTGCATGGAGCCTGCTTTTCCCTCTTCCTGTGTCTCTGCCTCTCTCTGTGTGTCTCTCATGAATAAATAAATAAAATTAAAAACAAAAAGAGAAACTGTAATCAAACAGTGAGACAGGAGGGGCACATGGTTGCGTCAGTTGGTGGAGCATGCAACTCTTGATCTTGGGGTTGTGAGTTTGTCCCCCACATTGAGTGTAGAGATTACTTAAAAATAAAATCTTAAAACCCCTCAGGGCGTCTGGGTGACTCAGATGGTGAAGCATCTGCTTTCCTCGCAAGTCATGATCTCTGGGTCCTGGGATGGAGCCCCACATCAGGCTCCCTACTTCTCCCTCTCCCCCCTAACCCCCTTCTTGCTCTCTTGCTCTCTGTCTCACAAAGGAGTAAATATATTTTTTTAAAAGTTCAAAAATAATAGTAGTAAAACAAATCACTTAAGTAGTAATTAGAAAAGTTTATGGTACACACACCAAGAAGACAGTTTGCAGACCTGGAATACTCAAACCAAAACCTGGAATGAGGCTCACAGGTATATTGTTATGAATCAGTTTATATGGTGAGAAAGCAGTGAGTATTTCTCACAGTGATGGGTTATTAGAATTTTCTTAAATGATAAGGAATTTGTCAGTGGTTACCTTATATCAACCTTGGGAAACAGTTCAAGTTTTGTTTGTGATTTCCAGAGGCATATGCAAGAAATGACCCAGGTCAAGTTAGTCTTGCAAAATAAGCTAAATTAAGTTTTGTTAGTATGACTAAAATGGTTTTGTCTGCTCGGGAATTTTCAAGCTTGGTCTGCATTTGTTTTTTACTTTAATAGTATCTTGATTTTAAAACCAGATACAGAGGGCAGCTCAGGTGGCTCAGCAGTTTAGCACCACCTTCAGCCCAGGGCATGATCCTGGAGACCCGGAATTGGAATCGAGTCCTGCATCTGGCTCCCTGCATGGAGCCTGCTTCTCCCTCTGCCTGTGTCTCTGCCTCTCTCTCTCTCTCTCTGTCTCTCATGAATAAATAAGTAAAATCTTAAAAAATAAAATAAAATAAAACCAGATAAAGATAGTACAAGCAAAGTATAGACCCATTTGCCTTGTGAATAGATATGAAAATCCTAAATATAAGATTTGCCAGGCAAAATATTTACTTTACAGGAATGCAAGAATATATATATTTATATTTAAAGATTTTTATTTATTTATTCATGAGACACACACACACACACACACACACACACACACACACACACACACAGAAAGAGAGACAGAGAAAGAGAGAGAGGCAGAGACACAGGCAGAGGGAGAAGCAGGCCCATGCAGGGAGCCCGACGTAGGACTTGATCCCGGGTCTCCAGGACCAGGCCCTGGGCTGAAGGCAGCGCTAAATCGCTGAGCCACCCGGGCTGCCCCAAGAATATTTTAATCAATGAAATTCACCATGTTGATAGGCTAAAGGAGAAAAATAATATGATTAATTATATGACCAACATATGCGAAATGCATAAAAATATTTTATAAAGTTCTACTTTATAGTAGATGATATAAAAATGATATGATAGTGGTGCCTGGTGACTCTGTCACTTAAGCAGCTGCCTTGGCCTCGGGTCATGATTCCTTTGTCCCAGGATCCAGCTAGCATCAGGCTCAGCGGGGAGCCTGCTTCTCCCTCTCCCTGCTGCTCCCCCTGTTCATGCTCTTTCTGTCAAATAAATAAGTAAAAACCTGTAAAATATCATTTTGCAGTTTAAAAATCTTTACAGTACAGGCACGTCTGTGTGGCTTGGTAGTTGAGCACCTGCCTTTGGCCTACATCGGGCTCCCTGCATGGAGCCTGCTTCTCTCTCTGCCTGTGTCTCTGCCTCTCTCTCTCTTTGTGTCTGTCATGGATAAATAAATAAAATCTTAAAAAAAAAATCCTTACTGTATAGTATGTCCTACTTTTCATGGTCTCTGAATTTTTTTTCTTTACTAGTTATTTCTGAGATGTTGCTTTAGTTTTATTGAACCTTTGATTTCTTACTTTATTGAAGTATAGTTGACATATCATAAAATTTGCCTATTTCAAGTGTACAAATCAGTGATTTTAAGAAAATTTACTGAGTTGTGACATCATAATAATGCAATTTTAGAACATTTTCAATGGATGGGGATCCCTGGGTGGCGCAGCGGTTTGGTGCCTGCCTTTGGCCCAGGGCGCGATCCTGGAGACCCGGGATCGAATCCCACATCGGGCTCCCGGTGCATGGAGCCTGCTTCTCCCTCTGTCTGTGTCTCTGCCTCTCTCTCTGTGTGACTATCATAAAAAAAAAAAAACAAAACATTTTCAATGGGATATCAGGGTGGCATAGTTGATTAAGCTTCTGACTCTTAGTTTTGTCTCAGGTCATGATCTCAGCGTCATGAGATTGAGCCTCATGTGGGGCTCTGGGCTGAGTGCAGAGTCGGCTTTTGGGTTTCTTTTTCCCTTTGCCCTGCCCCTGGTGTGCTCAGGCACTCTTTCTCTCTCTTCAAATAAATAACTTTAACATTTTATTTTTTAAAAAAATATTTTATCCATTTATTCATAAGAGTACACAGAGAGAGAGAGGCAGAGACACAGGCAGAGGGAGAAGCAAGCTCTATTACAGGGAGCCCGATGCAGGACTCAGTCCTGGGACCCCAGGATCATGCCCTGGGCCAAAGGCAGGCTCCAAACCACTGAACCATCCAGGGATCCCTTGTTGGAGGAGGTTTAAACATGGGGTTACTCAGTGAGAGTTTTTCTTCTTTTAGGGATAAAGATCCTCTACAATTGTAAGGTGTGGGGGACCTTTAAAATCTTTTGGCAACCTTTACTCGGGGCACCCTGTATGCTGACCACCACGAGCATTCCAGGCTTCTGTGGTTAGCTTTCCAAACTTAGAACTACATTTCTTATTTGCACACTGCTCACGAAGGGGTGAAAACATCTCAACATGGACATTCTCTCTTTTTTTTTTTTAATTTATGATAGTCACAGGGAGAGAGAGAGAGAGAGAGAGAGAGAGGGAGAGACACAGGCAGAGGGAGAAGCAGGCTCCATGCACCGGGAGCCCGACGTGGGATTCGGTCCCGCGTCTCCAGGATCGCGCCCTGGGCCAAAGGCAGGCACCAAACCGCTGCGCCACCCAGGGATCCCAACATGGACATTCTCTGTAAGGGTGGGGATTCCTGGAGTGTGATACTTGCTGGGATTCCGTTTGATTATGAGGTAGAGTTATCATAGTAACCTTTGCAGGCTGCCCATCCCTCAGCATGCTCTATTTGCAAATGTAACCTAAAAAATAAAACAGCCAGTTATTTTACCACCAGCAAAATGGGTTTATATGAGAATAAAAGAAAATTGCAATTCATGACACACAAGCTAAGGCAAAACCACAGGCAAGTCCAACAAAACAAAGGAGAGGAACTTTATTTTATGGAGGAGGAGGAAGTTGGGAAGAATTGTTTTGAAGGAAATCTTATTAGAGAAAAGCCAGAGTTCGGGGTGATGATGGTTTTCCATCAGCTGAGTTACCAGGGTAGAGGATTTCTCCCCTGGGGTTGCAATGTGCATCTTTCCCCCGATGGGGAAAAGTTACATCCCTGTAACCGATGATTTTCCTGTTGAGGATTCTTGAACTCCACTTTAGTGAGGTTTTTTTTATCAGTGTTCACACAACCACCTTGTGGATTTAGATAAAGTATAGTTGTCCTATAGAGAGTGAACAGTAGGCGGTACAGTGGTCAGACAGGATCAAGGATGATCATTTCTCTCTGTAACGAGCTCAGTTTTTAAAATTGAGGGACATTTAGGCTAAGAGTTTCTACTTACTATGCAAATCTATCTTAAGGTGCATCATGAAGCATGTGATAAGGAAGTCCCAAGGAGTTCTTTCTCCCAGGGCTCTCTTGCTGGCGGGTCTGTGGATCCCGGTGGGGGAGAGCCCCTGGGAAGCAGGAAAGGAGCCGGGGAGCCCCGGCCACCGGGGACTAAGGGCGGCCGCAAGGGGCGCCGCATTTCGTGCGCTAGGAGGCAGCACCTCGCCGGGAAGGCCGCCCCCGATCCTCCCGCGGGACGTGCAGCCTGGGGCCTTCGCCCACCGGGGTCGCCACCAGAGAAGCGGGCGCCCGCCAGGCGGGCTTGCGGGGTAGTTGCGGGGCGGATTCACTGATGGGCACGTGCCCTCCACCTTCTTAGCCCCTGGGCGACAATCAGTGGGCGTTCGCGAAAGTCCCTTGGCTTCCCTCTCGCTTCCCCACGGTTCTTCCGAGGGCCACGCGGCGCGGCTGGCCTCGCGGAGCCGGGCCGTGCGGCCGAGGGATGCCCGGAGCGGTCCTGAAGCCCGGCCGTGGCCGCGGGCGCGCGGGGGACTACAGTTTCCAGAGTGCCCTGCGGCGACGGGCGGGGCCGGGGAGCGCCCGCAGCCAATTAAGGGGTCTCCGGGCGCCGCCGGGGAGCGGCAGGTGGAGCCGGGCCGCGGGCGGGGCGGGGCGGGGCGGGGGGGCGCGGGCCAGGTCCCGGGAGCGCGTCCTGGGGCTCGCGGGCGGGCGGGAGGCGGCCCCGGGGACCCGACCGGCTGGGGGCGGGGACCGCGGCCGCCTGCGCGGTTCCGGGTGCTCCCGCCGCGCGCAGCCCGGGGCGCACTTGACCGGAGTCGGGCTGCGGGGAAGGGCGGGTCTGGGGAGAACCCCGGAGCCCGCGGCGTCCCTCAGCCCCACCTCCCCGCGGCGGCCGGAGCCTCAGCCCGAGCCCGAGCCCGAGCCCCAGCCCGAGCCCCAGCCCGAGCCCCAGCCCGAGCCACCTCGCCCCCCGGCTCGCGCGCCCCAGCCATGGCTTTCGCCAATTTCCGCCGCATCCTGCGTCTGTCCACCTTCGAGAAGAGAAAGTCCCGCGAATATGAGCACGTCCGCCGGGACGTGGACCCCAACGAGGTGTGGGAGATCGTGGGCGAGCTGGGCGACGGCGCCTTCGGGAAGGTTTACAAGGTGAGCGCGCGGGGGGCGGGCGGCCCGGGCGCGAGCGGCGGCTCCGGAAGGAAGGGGCGCCGGCCCGGATCGCCGGCCCCGGCTCGGGAGGGCGCGGGGGCTGCGGCGGCTGCGGCGGCTGCGGCGGCTGCGGCGGCTGCGGCTCCGAGCTCGGGGCCCCGCGCGCCGTCCCGGGGCCCCGCGGGGCGCCTCTCTCCCCGGCTGGTGCGTGCGGGCTGGGCGCCCCCTCTGGGCGCAGCCGCTGCCCCCGGCTCCCTTCGGAGCACTTCCTGTGCGTCCGGCACCGCGCTCGGCGCCGCAGGGGGAGACAAAGGGGCGCTTCCAGGACCTCGGCATCGGAGACCACGCATCCGCCCTAAAACTGGTTCTGGGCATAAGACAGGCCACACTGATGCTGTGAGACTGCCGAGGCGCGGAGACCAGAAGCCCGGCCGCGTCTGGAAGGCTTGGGATCGGTGGAGTTGGGGACACACCTGAAAATGAGCCGCAGCCAAGAAAAGGGGTGGCTCCAGGGGGAGGGGCTAGGCTTGGAGAGGTGGGCACGGGCTGCGCAGAAGGAGGGGGGTCGGGGCCCTGTGAATGCTGCGCTGCGGGGATGGGATTTGCGGGATGGATTTGCGTGTGTGTGAGTCACAGCTGGGGAGTCTTCCAGGCTTCCGTCACCTTTCCCCTGGAGGCATAAGGGGGGCAGAGAGCTTTTGTGGAGGGATGGGTGGGGCAGGGCTGATTAATTCTAGACACGTTTGCAGCAGGTCATTGTCTGGTTCCTGCTCCTGTGAACCGATGCTGAGTTGTGTGGGGGACCCAAACACCTAGAGCTTGACGCCACCCTTCTCCTCATCTCCTTTCCTCCAGGGAACCTTTCCTGAGAAAATCCCCCCATGTTAAGTTGCTGTGTATCCATCCCCAGGAGAGATCTTCCTTCCTAAGTCACCGGCATGGCATCACCCTGAGGGCTCGGGTAGCTTGCACACCACGCAGACCCCAGGCTTGCCTTTCAGGAGGCTGGACCACAGACAGGGCGTCTCTAGGCCCACCTGGTCAGGACTTCCTCTCAGCTTTGCTAGTGGTCTAGAGCCTGGTTTCGGAGGTGCAGTCCCTGGAGGAGCAGCATTCCCCTCACCTGGGAGCTCGTTAGAAAAGCAAAATGTTAAAAAAAAAAAAAATGCAGAATGTCAGGTCCCGCCCCAGCCCTGTTAAGTTGGAGTCTGCATTTTAACAAGATGCTCAGGTGATTGCCAAGCACGTTAGGTTTGAGAAGTTCTCCTAGAGGCAGTTTGAGGCAGACCAGGCCCATCTGGGTGCCTGTTGGTTACCTTCCCACCTCCCCTCCCCTCTGAGCCCGCACTCCCTGTTATGGGGAGGAATTCCCACTGGAGCAGAGGTCCTGTGGTTGAGAAGCAGGCCTCTGTAGCGCTCACATCCAGTGCCTTTCAGGCTGGAAAATCTCTTCCTGAGGGCTCTGCATGTATTTGAGGATAAGCGGGAACAGAGAAGTGTTCTCTTTACCCTTCTCAGTGACATCTTCCTCCAGGGGCCCCAGGAGACTGTCCTCAGCCTTGCAGCTCAGCCCCTGGACACGCAGCCAGGGTCCTTGCTGTCTCCAGTCAGACCCCACTCTTCCAGATGTGCCCCGACTGTCTTGAGGGCAGCAGGACCCTTGGTCAGCTTACCACATCCTCCTTTTTCTCCAGAAGGTTCAATTGGTGTTTTTAGTGAATATTATTGGCTTACACTGATGTTTTTTTCTCCGATAGGGGCTGGCTTTCAATTGCAGTCTTGTCCTTCTCTCCCAGTGTATCCTGGCTCCATATGGTTCATGTCCGTCCTTCTTCTGTCCTTCCGTCCTAGCATGCGAGAGAACACAGGAGCCTGGGTGGGGGGCGGGTAGGGACAGAGGGGGAGGGAGAGAAAATCAAGGAGACCGTGGGGCAGCAGAGCCAGACAAGGGGCTAGATCTCGCACCCCTGAACTAATGACCTGAGCTGAAACCAAGAGCCGGTCACTCAAAAACACTGAGCTACCCATTGACCAAAAAAGGGTCATTTTCTTCTTTTTTTTTTTTTCCTCCCTCATTTTCTTTTAAACCTAAATGCAGAACTTTACTTTTATGCTGGTAAGATTTCCCCCCATGAGTTTCGCTTGTCATTTCCGCCGCTGCAGCCCTGTAAAACTCCCCTGCTGCTCTGGAGGTTTCATACGAAGAAGGAGCAAGGAGCGTATCTGATTCACAAGTTACTTTGTTCCCTGGCTCTCCAGAGCAAGTGGACCCTTTTTAAGTGACTCTCGTTCCCAAAGCTGTGAGCTGGCTGCACCACAGCTCTCTCCCTCTCACCACCGAGCCCATGATTTTCTCATAACTAAGAGGAGGGAGAGCTCGAGCAAGAGAGCCGGGTGATGGCTGATACACCTGGATGGTTTATTATATCACCGGTCTGGCCTTGGGGTGTGACTGGCCATCCAACCCAACCTCATGTTAGGGGATATTGGGGCGTCTGGAAAAGAAGGGACTCAAATCCAAGGCTCTGAGCTTCAGTTTAACATTTTCCTTAGTTAGCAGCTGTGGAAGATTCACCCAGGATTGGAGATGCCTGTCACCCATGCCTTCTGCTCTTAAGTGCTGCTTGCTCAGCCCTTCAAAGCTGAAGTTGAATCAGATCGTGCTTTATTAAAGACTCTAATCAGGGACCATAACTCTTTTCCACTTCTCTGTTCCCTGGTACGGCCACTGTGGCAGTAGATGCCAGAAGTTCATCTAGGTTTTTATGGCTGGTACCAGAATTTACATGTTGACACAGTGCCCGCCTGGGCCACTAGTAGGCTGTGAACTGGGGAGGTGATGGCTAGCACCATCTCTTTTCTCCTATAACAAGCAGGTTGTTCTGGCTGCCGGCACCGTGAAGGCCTTCCTGAGGACTTCCCTGGTGTATGAAGCCTTAGAAATCTCAATTTGTTACATGCTCGTTAGGACAAGACGGACTACAGGTTGCCTGATGAAGTCTTGCAGAAGCTCAGAGCCTAAACTTTAGCAGTCTCAAGAGAAGAGGCCCCTTTTCCCTCCTCTCCCTGACGAGCCCATGAACAGTTGGCCCTGGGAGAGACAGAGAAGGGTAGGATTCATTCTGGATGGAGTCAAGGTCATTCTCACCTAAATCGTTATGCAATGTAAATTGATTTCAAAAGAAAATAATTGCTAGCTCATTCCTAAATACAAAGCAAATGTTACAGTGTATATGTGGTTTCAAATTTGTTGTCCTATATCATTTCAAGATTCTTCTTCTTTTTTTTAAAGATTTATTTATTTATTTATTTATTTATTTATTTATTTATTTATTTATCTATTCATGATAGACATAGAAAGAGAGAGAGAGAGGCAGAGACACAGGCAGACGGAGAAGCAGGCTCCATGCCAGGAGCCGGACATGGGAGTTAATCCTGGGACTCCAGGATCGCGCCCTGGGCCAAAGGCAGGCGCTAAAGCGCTGAGCCACCCAGGGATCCCTCAAGATTCTTCTTAAGAATCATCTTTATTCTGAAGATAAGATAGAAAGGGGAAAAAGTGTTTGATAACATGTAGAGTGGAACAAAGCTGCCTTCATGCAGGACGAGCTTTGTGCTACAGCGGCAAGGCGGGTAGTCACGTGCTGAGCACAGAGTGAGCAGACATCTAGGGTTGGGTTAGCAGGCTGAGATGATTTTTCTGCCCCCTTTTTTTTTCCTTTATAAAGATATATTTTTAAGTAATATCTACACTCAACATGGGGCTTGAACTCAAAACCCTGAGATCAAGAGTCACACGTTCCACCAGCTGAGCCTGCCAGGTGTCTCATTTTTCTGCTTCTTGAAAATTACTTTGGTTTTGATTCTATGTTACCTTTAAGCTCTTCAGAGGTTTATGGTTTTGCAAAATTGGGAGTATACAAAGAACATATTTTTTTCCATAAAAGGAAAAACATCCCCCTAAGTCCTGTCAATTGCTCTTGACATTTTGATATATTTCCTTACAGACTTTATCATTTTTTTACGGTGAAAAAAATGTTTTAATTCAGGGTTGTAATTTTATATACCTACAGTGTTTTATACCATCTTTCATTCCTCCAACCTCTTTCTGTAATATTCTTAATGTTTCCTACATACATTCTGGGATGGCTCAGTGCCACCTTGATCTTAATCTTATTGGATATTTAACCTTTTAAAAAGGATTTTTCTTATTTATTGGCCGGGGAGGGACAGAGGACGAGGGAGAGAGAGGATCTCAAATAGACTGTGTGCTGAGCACACAGCCCCATGCAGGGTTTGATCCCACCACCTGAGATCCTGGACCTGAGCTGAAACCAAGAGTCAGATGCTTAACTGACTAAGCCACTCAGGTGCCGCCTTTTCTTTTTTTTTTTTTTTTTTAAACAAGTCACAGTTGTTTAAATGTTTATTATATATGTGCCAGGCGTTGTGCTAAGCACTTTATATAACATAGTCGGCTCTGCTGTAATGTAAATTTGCCTCCCTAAAAAATCTTCATGCTGAGCAAAATCAGTAAGAACAGCCGCTTTTTAAGACATGGTCCAGGGCACCTGGGTGGCTCTGTAGGTTAAGCGTCTGCCTTCAGCTCAGGGTATGATCTCTAAGTCCTGAGATCCAGCCCCACCTCAGGCTCCCTGCTTGTGGGGGAGTCTGCTTCTCCCTCTCCCTCCTCCTGAGCTCATTGTGCATGCTCTCTAAAATAAATAAAATCTTAAGGAAAAGATACAACACTACACTACCGCGGGAGACCATTAAAAAAAGGGGGGGGGGAACCTAAAAAAACCGGTGGTGCAGTTATACACAACTTTGGAGATGAGAAATAAATATTACAGTAAACACAACACTGTAGAGTGAAAGAGACGTGCAGGGTGCTGTGGCCGTGGGTGCTCGAAGGGGTGGGAGGAGGGTTATCTGAAATCAGGTGCTGAGTGGGACCCCCCAATGCTGTGTGGGCTACAGGTCTTTGATGTTTAAGGTGC